AGCTGTGGTAGTACCGGTAGGTCGGTCTGGTCTTCTTCACAGTTACTTGCCATCTTCTTGGTTAATGGCACTCACTTGAGGCACCATGCTAACATTAGGTAGGTAGGTAGGTAGAACTTTATTGATCCCACAGTGGGGAAATTCCAGTGTTCCAGCAGCAGTAAAGGACAAAACAATATGACACCATAAGAATAAACACCCCACACATATCTTGAGAAAACAAGATCCAGGTACCTGGAAAAACCAAACAAAATTATAGTATTTCAGAGACAATCAAGAACAAGAACAGACCTCCCACAGTTTGTCCCTGAGACACAAATCAAAAAAGATATCTAGGAACAAGACAAAAAAGAATAGTATTGAGAGGAATCAAGAAAACAACCAGGAAATCAAGAACAATTGAATATTACTCACACAATTGATCCCACAATGGGGGAAAGAAACCTGTGTTTCAGCCATAAGGATCTCTGAGCAACTACTCAAAAATACCTAAAGCAGGACAATGTCCAGTATTTGAGAGAGATCAGGAACAAGATATTACACATGAGCCTATTTACAATGCATTTCACCCCCAGGAGCTGAATATTGCACTTCAGTAGCTTATTACATAGTCCCTCATAATTTCACCTAGTTCATCACTGCAATGATGTGTTGTACAGTCTGATGGCTGTGGGGAGGAACGACCTACGGTAATGCTCCTTCTTACACTGGGGGTGTAACACTAGCCACCATAGAGTTAAGGAATAATGTCACCTGAGTCCCAGGACTCTCACCTGCCTCTGTTATTTTGAGTCTTTTTGGGGAAAAAATAGTTAACTTGGGTCTTTTTTAAAGATCTTGCTTCTCTTTTTCTTTCTGAGCATTTCTGAGCATTCCTCTCATGTCTCCTAGATTCCGCCATGGCAGTTTAAATTTTTTTCACCATTTGTGACCCCTGACACTAAAACTGGCCAATCAGTATTAACAGCTGTCACCACTGGCAACAAACTAACCAATAAATCAATCAATCAGTACACATAATAATGACATTATACCATCATATTGGTTATTATTATTATTATTACTGACATTCAGAGACCCTTCAGTCCAACAAAGCCTATGCACAGTAAATTGTTGGGAGTATATCACACTGCAGAGAAACCACTCTGCTTTGGATTGAGGTTGGCATTGGGTTGGGGGGAGGGCTTGAGTAAAGCTAATCTTATTTTATGTATATATCAGACTTTTGATGCTTTCTTTCATTTGTCTTCCTCTTCACCTTTTCCATCATCATTCTGGGAAGCACAGAAAAAGTGAGCGATAAAGCCCCTTTAAAGCGGCTCCAGACTTGCTCATCCCCCTGCAGCTTCAGAAGGATTATGGCCACTTCAGGCACGTTTGTACCCTGTCAGCGCCTCTTCAGTTCTTCAAGCAGCACAGAAAGCTCCTTAGGCCAAATGTTTCCTGTGTGACACTCTCAACATTTGATAGAACACAATCAGTGGTCACTATAAACTCAATAGGAGTGCTGCAAACTCACTATAATTAGAAGTATTAGATTAATACAGTAATTTGTCACTCCATTTTGAGGTTAATGTGTCAATCTGTGTTCACCTTGTAAATTGAGATGAGTCAGTCTTTTATGACATTACTGACAGGATAACTTGCCTTCAGGACAATTTGTTTACGTAGTTATCATTAGCATGTAAGCCACATTTTGAAACTGCAAACTTATGGTTAATTTTATATTTTTTTCTAATTAAAATGGCACATCAATTTTCTGGAACATAAGACAGTTTATTCCAAAATTAGAACTGTTCACGGGGGCGGCTCTGGCTCAGGAGGTAGACTGGGTTTTATCTGTACTGGAGTGTTGGTGATGTGATTCCCAGCATCTCCAGTCCGCATGTTGAAGTGTCTTTGAGCAGGACACTGACCCTTAGTTACTCCTGATGATATCAGTGTATGAGCATTTGTGTGTGTGAGAATGGGAATGCATCAATACACAGCACAGTGCTATATAAGACCATTACCCTCTGTCCATACACACAAAATACAATAGGTCACATGATGAACTAGAATAGCTTAGTTTGCATTAAACTCTTAATATACATTTTTATTCAGTAATTTCACTCATACTGTAGTGTCACTAAATTCACTTCACACATTAAAGGCCATCTGATTGTACTGCAACACTTAGTTTTGTTATGGTCACACACCATGCGAGGTGGTGTGACAGAGAAACGGACTCAGAGGGCTGACTTCACCATAAGCAGTGTTTAATAGTGCTGTACAAGGCAAGGAGTGTTATAACGTGACAAATACTGTGACTAGAATAGGCATTGATGGTATGGGTGTTGACCACAGGAAAGTAGGATGAAGGTAGTTGCTGGGCCGAGCTGCGGAGCATGGAGGTCACTCACTGGCTGGTCAAGTAGAGGTGGTTGAGGCTGAAGAGAAGGGAACCAGGCAGAAGGCGACGAACAGAGAGAAACAGAAAGAGAGAGTACCGACCTGGCTGGTGAATGACAGTCTGATGGCAGAATGGAGTAGGTCCGGACGTTAATAGTTCCGTGAGGGGGTATGAGTCCAAGCAAGAGGGCTGAAGGCAAGAACGGGCGAGGAGAAGGCTAGTAGGAGATGGAGGCAAACTGAAAACACTCACACACAAAAAAGGCAGATCACAACAGTCTCTAGAAGAACAAATATGGCTCTAGTTGCCTGTGTGGGCACAAGAACAAACTGGCAGTGGACAGGTAGGAAGGCGAGGTAAATATAGGAGATCTGGTGATTGCAGGCGTGACAACAGGTGGTGGTAATGAGGATAGCTGGCAGGTGTGTGGAGGAGAGAGGGCAGGTGAAACCGAGCAACCCTGACAAGTTTGGAAAAAATATGCATTCGTATAATTTAGGTGATTTTTTGGGGGGGGGGCCGGGGGGGGAATAAGGCTATTCAGCAACTTCCCTGTTAGAAAGTGGTGTCACCAAAATCACTCATCATTATGGACAGGGATACCAAAGCTACACCCTTGAGTCTGGATGCAAAACACACTAGGTGTTATTAACTAGTGCTGCAAAAATGACCGCCAGATGAATGTGTCTCGTTCCCTAACACCCACATCAAATCTACATCAAATCTACATACACTTTCTTATCATTGCACCAATACATGAACGTCTAAAGGAAGCTATCCAAAATATATAAATCTCTAATCATTGCCTATGAAAATAACAGATGAGCCCAACAATGGGTGAAAAGTCATTTTTGCATGCTAGGACTGCTGAAACCAGAGGTCTTTGGGGGAGATTTTGCTCATCTGATTCTGTTTTGAGTGATAAAACTGTCAGACGCAGAACCGCAGAACAAAGAGAAATGACTGTGGTCATCTAAAATTGTTCTCATAACCTTCAGTCAAAGACAGTTAAGAGCAAAGAGAAGTGGAGACAGAGAGTGGCACCTCTGCCTCCTCTGAAATGAAAGCGACATTAAGAGGCTTTTGTTAGGAATGTTAATCATATATCGATCTGTGTAATCTATGGCCAACTCTCGCCCCTGGGCCCTATACGTGTACAGTGAACGTCATTCTTTCACACTGCAGGGAAATCAGTGATCCTATTTTATCTTTAGTTAGGTGCACATGTACTGGAGGATTCCTGGTTCCTCTTTATTGACTGAAGAGATACTGCTTCTGTTTCGTTGTAACAGACCATATAGGACCCACATTTTCTTACCTGGGCCAGCTCCTGTTTCATTATATTAGATATGGAGCTCAGATCCTTCTGCTTCAAATATGATCCCTATATTTACTGGCCACCCTCTAGACTGGTTTCCTGTCTTGTTTGCACATTCTTTTTCATTCCTTTTCCCCTCAGCCTTATATTGTTTTCTTGTCTGTTTGCTGCTGTATATACACACTGACAGCCACTGTACCCAAACCAGATTCCTTGCGTGTCCAAAACACCTGGCCAATAAAACTGATTCTGATTCTGAAATCATTTTTCCTATTTTGTAGCATTTGTGACTTTACTGAACTGCCATTTTGGCATGGTGAAATGGAACCCCCAACCCGTTCCTTATGAATTAAAGAGGATCCTCATGGATCCAACATATCTGATATGCACTGCAAGGACCTGCCTGTCAAAACCTGACAACCTACTACTTCACTATTCCTGAGTAATGTCTACACAACCACTGACTGCATCCATATACAAGCTTATTTGCATTTTATCATCAGAGTTACTTTCTTGACTCAAAGGAGTTCCAGAGCCACAGAAGGCATTACATAGTAGGACTGTCTAAACACAGGCTAAAGCTAAACTGCACTCCTTATGAGGACTAAACGACTCATCATGTATAAAACCAGTGGAATGTCTGCTTCAATGACAGCACTATCATAAAAATGCTGAGGAGCTGTGTGTTTTTCATACAGCATATTTCTCTCTGACAAGAAACTCAAGAAAGTTTTTCCTGTTGGATTTTTGCTTTATTTTTATATTGTAAGTTCATTGAACTGAGTCAGGTTATGTAGAGATATAACTAAAAGATTAACATCTAGGGCTTCAAACCTAGTTATTTTAATTGTTGATTCAAATGTTGATTATTTTTCAATTAAATATAAATTGTTTGGTCTATAAAATAATCTACTAGAAAACAGCAAAACATTAATCTTAGAACTGTGGGTGAGATCCCGTAAACGATGAAACAGAGAAAGGCTGCAAATCCTCACATTTAGGAAGCAAGAACCAGTGGACTTTGAGCATTTTGCATAATAATGATGATTAATCGGTTATCAAAATATATTTCAAGCAATTATTCAATTCATGAGGAGTCATATGAGCTGTTATATAAACTGTGCAGATGTATTTTAGAGAGGTGGCCACAAGGCTCCTTCTTTAGACAACTTGGCAAGAACTGTGTGGGGGGGGGGGAGAGACAGAGGGAGAGGGGG